ATCTTCTCTACCTGCTGCATCGCAGAGGAAAAAGAGGACATTTTTAAGGCAGCACAGGCTCACGCTGACTTCATGGCTGGACAACAACCAGATAAATCTGCAACTGGAACAGTAGCTGTGCCTAACACCCATCTCCAATGGAATTACCAACAGGAAGGGGCTGATGAGGCAAGAAAAGATCACATGCTTGTATCAAGGAAAGCATAAATTATTAATTATACCAAGCTAAAGGAAATCACACAGGGTCCAGATGAAAATCCTACTCTTTCCTAGGGAAGGTTAGTTGGAGTTATTAAGAAATGCAACAATCTAGGCCAGGCTCAGTGGCTCAAGCCTGTAATTCCCAACACTTTAGGAGTCCAAGGCAAAAGGACTACCTGAGCTCAGGAGTTTGAGACCAACCTGAGCAACATGGCGAGACCTTGTCTCTACCAAAAAAAAAAAAAATTAGTCTTGCGTGGTTCCGCATGCCTGTAATTCCAGCTACTTGGAAGGCTGAGGCAGAAGGATCGCCTGAGCCCAGAAGGTCGAGGCTGTGGTGGTCATAAGCGTGCCATTGCACTCCAACCTGGGCGACAGAGTAAGACTCCAAACAAAAAAAAAAGAAATATACCAATCTAAATATTGATACACTGAAAGGGCAATCTTTCTAGGAACTTTTTTTTACCAGTCAATCAGCTCTGGATATACAGAGAAAGCTCCAAAAGCTAGAGTTAGGACCACAAATGCCAAGCCTCCAATTAACAGAGGAGGCATTCAAGATATTCAATAATTAGCTGGGCTTGGTGGCTCAGCCTGCAATCCCGTGCCTTTGGGAGGCTGAGGTGAGTGGATTGCCTGAGCCCGCAGGTTCAAGATTGAGATTATAGGTGTGAGCCACTGCCCGGCCAAAAGTGACTTCTATGCCACCCAGGCACCTGTAAATTTTTCTATTATTCATAGAAGACTTGATCAGATGGAAGAGTTAACTTCTTTCGAAGTTTTTTTGTTCATTCAGACTTTCTCTTGTTATAATCTCACTGCTACTTATTTAGTTATTTATTTTTTATTATTATTATTTTGAGTCAGAGTCTCACTCTGTCACCCAAGCTGGAGGGCAGTGGCATGCTAACAGCAACTGCAGACTCGAACTGCTGGGCTCAGGTGATCCTTCTACCTCAGCCTTCCAAGTAGCCGGAACTATAGGCGTGCTAATTTTTTTGATATATTGTAGTGATAAGGTCTCACCAAGTTGCCCAGGTTGGTCTCAAACCCCTGGGTTCAGGCTATCCTCTCGCCTCGGCCTCCCAAAGTGCTGGAATTAAAGGCTTGAGCCTGGGCCTGGTCTCACTGCTACTTATAATGAAACCTTAGGAATGAGAGTTTAATCATTTAAATTGTGCCAGTAACTGCAGGTCTTGTTGCCCTTGTACAAAAGGTAGTCCATAATCACCTAAATTTTCTTTCTTTTTTTTTCTTTTGAGTTGGAGTCTCACTCTGTCGCCCAGTCTGGAGTGTAGTGGCACACTCACGGGTACTGCAGCCTCAATCTGCTGGACTCAGGTGATCCTTCAGCCTCAGTCTTCCAAGTAGCTGGAACTACAGAACATACAACCATGCCTGGCTAATTTTTTGATTTATTGTAGAGATGAGGTCTCTTCAATTTGCCCAGACTGGCCTCAAACCTGTGGGCTCAGGTAATCCTCTCACCTCGGCCTCCCAAAGTGCTGGGATTACTGGTGTGAGCCACCATACCTGGCCTCTACATTTTCAATATACCCAGCCTCATTTGATTTCTCTGCTTGTCAGCACAATTTAATCCACTGGTTGCCAGGCCAGGATGGAAATAGTCGGGAAAATGCAGCCCTTAGATAGGACAGGAAACTATACCCCAGTGAATTGCACAAAAGAAACCAGTCTCTCACACAGAACAAGTGGACCTTCTCTTTCAAGAGGTACCCCATTTCCTTTTTGCCATGGAGAACCCACATGGGGACCTACCTTAAGTGTCATCTTAGATGAAGAAACCCCCAAAAGGGTATGTGCCCCCACAGGGGTGTTACTCAAACCCAGACCTAAGCAAATGATAGGAATAATATTAGCAGAACTGGAGCTACAGGTGGACTTTTAGCACCATGGAGAGGATTCATATACCAAGAGGTCAGCTTAAGAAATATCACTGCAACATTAGATGCCCTTTCTCAGTCTACAGCTGACACCTTAAAGGCCTTTATCTAAATTAACTGATTCCCTAATGTTTTAATGAATAATCTATTGGCTTTAGATAATTTACTGCTCAAGGGAGAGTTTGTGTGGGGTTTTTTGAGTTGGAGTCTCACTCTGTTACCCAGACTGGAGTGCAGTGACTGCTCCCGGGCTCGCCTGCTGGGTGCCGGCGATCCTTCCGCGTCAGCCTTCCAAGTAGCTAGAATTACAGGCGCGTGCTACCCCACCCGGATAAGTTTGATTTATAGTAGAGATGAGGTCTCGCCAAGTTGCCCAGGCGGGTCTCGAACCCGCGGGCTCAGGCAATCCACTCACCTCAGCTTCCCAAGGCGAGGGATTACAGGCTGAGCCACTGAGCCCGGCTTTGTGTGGTTCTTAATAAAATCTGCTGTACTTATATGAATGTTACTGGGCAAGTTGAAGAAGATTTTTTAAAAATCTATGACAAAGCTAAGTGGTTACTTGGTTTTACACAAGAAGCAATTGCGGCAAACACCATTTGGGACATTATTTAAAACTATATGCTATTTTGTTTGTATTATTTCTTTTACTGGGCCATTGTAATGGTTATGATCCTTCTAATTTGGGGTACATGTCTCTTTAACTGTCTGATTCAATTTGTCTCTTCCAGAATCCAGCAATTTCATGCCTGTACAATTATTGTGCAAGGATTCCAGCCAGTGCCAGCAAACGATGCCTCTGTTGAAACAGATCTGGATGCCTTAGATCAGACGGGGAGAGATTTTCGATCTCTGGCTAGGCAGGACCATGTCCACTGCAATGACCTGCCACTGACAATAAACACAACATGGTTAGTTAGCTGTTGGTGGATCGAAGAAGTTGCAGAAGACTGAACTTCACCCCTCAGCACCCCACATGATTATGGAATCAAAAATCTCTAAGGGGGGAGTTGAAGCAGGGTAGCTAGCACAAGTTAGATATAAATAGATACATTTCCCATAGGTAGGTTTTAGGATGCATTCAGACATTTTTATTTTATTTATTTATTTATTTTTGAGTTGGAGTCTCACTCTGTCGCCAAGGCTGGAGTGCAGAGGTACACTCAGCATCGCAGTCTCGACCTGCTGTGCTCAGGTGATCCTTCCACCTCAGCCTTCCAAGTGACTGGAACTACAGGCACATGCCACCACGTCTGGCAAATTTTTTAATTTATTATACAGACGAGGTCTCACCAAGTTGCCCAGGCTGGTCTCGAACCCATGGGCTCAGGCAATCCTCTCACCTTGGCCTCCCAAAGTACTGGGATTATAAGTGTGAACCACCATGCCTGGCCCAGACATTTTTAAAATTACATTTTTCTGCAGGCCAAGCTGGCCTGGAGAATTACATTTTTCTGCAGGCCAAGCAGGCCAAGTCTATCCCACCCCCTCAGTAAATCCAAAGAGAATTCCATGGGATGTAAGAATAGGACAGCCTAACCTTTCAGCTCATGATCACTAAAAATCCTTCAGTTTCCCTATTCAAGGTGACAGGCTTAATCCTACCCCTTAACTGATCCAAACCATAAAAATGATCATAAAATCACCCCTCCTCAGAGGCAGAGAGGGCAGCATTTACCTGTGCTCCACTCTCATTAGCCTATCATTAACTAGGTAATTACATCTAGCTTGGAGTTGAGAGCAAAAGAGTTTTTCTTTGAGAAACTTGTCCATGGCAGGTCTTTCTGCCATGAATCTTCCCTTTTCCTTCTCTTTCTCTCACTAATAAACTGTTTTAAAACTTTGCTGGTTGCTCTACAATTCATGAGCCAAAGAATGTATGAGCCAAAGAATCCACGACCCGGCATCATTCGATTTGCCACAGGTAGAAGTGGCAAAGTTCCAGTTATCACCTGCTTCCTTATAAGTTAACTCACAATGCTGGGAACCAAAGAGACTGAGGGAATTTCTGGTGTCCTGATGGTCTGCCTTTTCAACCCACCAACCGCTAACCATGTTGTGTTCATTGTCAGTGGAAGGCCAACCATAATTGTTAGTTCAAGGCCCAATGGCTTGTGGGAAGCCAGTGAAGACTTCAGAGCAGGAAATTGAGGTGGAGGAGGGGAAACCAGGTGAGAGGCTTGGAATAGATCGCTGGAGGCAAATAAATGGGTGGAGAGATAGGAGGTAAGATTGACAGATTAGATAACTGAAAAGAGAGGAAGGGTGAACTAGAGGGAGGAGTCAAGATGCCCCCAGGCTGCTGGCTTGGATCTCTGGGCCAAGATGGTGGGACTGTTACTTGGTTTGGGGAGAAAAGAAACAGGATTGGCAGGATGATGAATTTGGGGCAAGTTATATTGTTGAAGGCACCCAGAGGGAGGTGTCCAGGTGGTTGAAAGTAAGTATTTGGAGAGGTTGACACAGAAATGCAGAGGAAGCTATTGGGGTTTTTTCTTTTTTTTTGAGTTGGGGTCTCACTCGTTGCCCACCCACCGCAGCCTCGACCTGCTGGGCTCAGGCGATCCTTCTGCCTCAGCCTTCCAAGTAGCTGGAACCACAGGCGTGCGCCACCACGCCCTGCTGTTTTATTTATTGTCGAGATGAGGTCTCGCCAAGGTGCCCAGGCTGGTCTCGAGCCACTGGACTCAGGCAATCCCCTCGCCTCGGCCTCCCAAAGTGCTGGGATTACGGGCTGAGCCACAGCAGCCAGGGTATTAATACCAGCACGGAATTGCAAAGGCCATTCATTTGGGAACGTGCAGAGCTTGGCGGCCACGCAATTGGAATGTTCAGGCACGTGACTGCATGGTCCCGCAGCCCCGCGCTCAATTACCTTCAGAACCCGTGTGGGAGGGGAGGGACTGTGCTTGCTCCTCCCGGGTCCCGCCTCTCTGCCGGCCTCTTGTCCTCTTTAGCCATTGGGCAACAATGCTGTCCGTCAATGACCCGCCTCCGCAGATGAACCAATAAGGACTGGCGGGAGGGCTCTTCCTTCTGGAGTTGGCTCTCAACTCTGGGGTAGTTCGGGTGAAGTGACGACCGGGTAGCCGCGGTTGTGGAGCTGTGCGCAGGCGCGGAGCTGACGGGGCCGACCGAGCGGCGGCGGCGGCGCAAGCTGGTGAGAAAAGGGAGAGGGTGCGAGGTAGGGAAGGGGACGAGCCGGGTAGGTGGACTCCTCCTTCCCTGCCAGGCCTCGCCGGCGCCTGGCCCTCCCCGGCCTGTGACACCAGCTCAGGTGACGGGGCGGGCTAGCGGCCGAGCCGGACAAGCTGGGCCCACGACCTCGGTCACCCCACTCGTGCGCACGCGCCACGTGGGCCCACGGACTCGCCAAGGACCTTAGGCCGCGTACCGGGGCACCGCACTGGCTGCTATGGGCTTTCTAGCTACTCGTGAGCTCCGCGCCCTTACTGAATTCCCCTGTTTTACAAGCTTGGGAAGCTGAGCCTGTCGCTCGGAAGCACCCAGCTGTGACATGGCCGTGCCGGGGTTTGAGGGAGATCTGGCTTGGTGGACCCCGGAGTCCGCGCACTTTATGAGTCTGTAGTTAGAGACTTGAGCTTGGGACCTGCCTGTTTGATTTAAGGACGCGAAGTTGTTTGTGTCCTGGTGGATTGCCTGCCTTCTCTGCGGGTCCGGGAGGGTCAGACGCCCCCTGCACTTCCTGACCGACCGCTCCTGCCCCAAATTCAGCGGCGTGGCCTGGCAGGGACAGGGTTGGTGGTGAGGGACAGACCTCAGTGCTGGGCGCTCTCCAGATCCCAACGTACCAACTGGCGGAGGGCAGGATTCGTAAACAACATCCGACAACACGTGGGAAACGCCCCTCCTACCCCCCACCCCCGCCGAGTCACCTCAGAAAAGCTAATTGAAATGGGGCGGCTTTGTTGTTGTTCAAGGAAAAATACCACCAGAGACGGTGAAAGAAAGAACTAGGAGACTTTCTTTCATACCCTTGTGGAGGCAGATGTGAGGCTTTTGGAAATCAGATTGGCAGTGAGTCCACCCTTTGACCTAGTGACTCCTGGTTTGGGAAATAAGTGGGATAAACCCTAAGCAGAGAAAAGGTTATGGCATAAGGCAGTAAGTACAGTTTGGTACTTTATAAATAGCAAGTTAGTGGAAACGACCTCTAAATTCCTAGCAATAGAGAATAGTTAAGTAAATTGTGATCGTTTATTCCAAAACATATTCATTAAATGTAATAAGAAAAAAATGCTCTTGTCAGCAAAGTCAGATTCAAAGTTGTTGCAACTATGTAAAAACATGTACAGAATTTTTTGGAAGGGTATGCGTCTAATGGTAAAAATAATAACTACCTTTTTTTTTTTTTTTTTTTTTAGCAGAAGGGTCATATTTCATTAAATTCTCACAAAACTTTATGAGACTAGTATTATTCCCATTCCACCAGTGAATAACGAGCTCAGAAGAGTGAAGTGATGTGTCTTATGCTAGACAGCTGATGTTATACCTAGTGTACTTTTGGGCCTCTGAAAGTGCCACATATAGCTAATATTTGAGGAATTATTGTGTGCTAGGTACAGCACTGGGCAGTGGAAAGCCACTGGTGAGTAAGGCAGCCATGGTTCCTGAATTCATGAAGTTTATAGACTAGCGGGGACCAGATATTTACAATTTTTTTCTTCTTTTTTTTGAGAGAGGATCTTGATATGTTGTCCAGGCTGATCTTGAACTCCAGGGCTCAAGCTATCCTCCAGCCTTAGCCCGCTGAGTAGCTGGGATTACAGGTACATACCAACGTGCCAGAGGCAGATATTTAAATGAACGCTGATAGTCTGCTGGAGAGAGTGTGAACTTGGGAGCTAGACAGTATGCTCAGGCAATAGAGCGGGAGAAGGGGCTCCTGGGTCAGTTGAGAAGGAAGGAGTGAAGCCCTGAGTGGCTCTATAAAAGCAGAGGTGTATGAAAAGCTGTTTTCCGAATTTTCTGGAATGTGTTTATGTGTTATAATAGGGAGTAGGTAGTTTAGTAAAATTTTTTAGTTTGTCTTATGTAATTTTTGCTTGGGATATTATCAAATTAAGTGTTATCAGAAGTAAATATTTTTAAGAAGCTAGATTTGAAACTTTTTTAAACTTTAATTTTCAGGTTTACAAATATCCTTTTTTGCTGAAGGAACACATTTGCTAGCTTCAGAATGTCAAGTACTGTGTCCTACTGGATCTTAAATTCTGCAAGAAACAGCATTGCCACATTACAAGGGGGTAGACGTTTATACTCAAGGTATGTCTCAAATAGGAATAAATTAAAATGGAGGCTCTTTTCCCGGGCACCACCCACCCTAAACGGTTCCCCATGTGGTGGCTTCACTCTGTGCAATGCCTACAGACACACGTCAACGGAGGAAGATGATTTTCACTTGCAACTCAGACCCGAGCAGGTAAATGAAGTGCTTCGAGCTGGCGAATCAGCCCACAAGATTCTTGACCTTGACAGTGGAATCCCAAATTCAGTGTTGCGGTTTGAGAGCAACCAGCTGGCTGCCAATTCCCCAGTGGAGGACCGGCGAGGTATAGCCTCCTGCCTGCAGACCAGTGGACTGATGTTTGGCATCTTTGATGGGCATGGTGGTCATGCATGTGCACAAGCAGTGAGCGAGAGGCTTTTCTACTATGTGGCAGTGTCCCTGATGTCTCATCAGACCCTGGAGCAGATGGAGGGAGCGATGGAAAGCATGAAGCCGCTGCTTCCTATCCTGCAGTGGCTTAAGCACCCAGGTGACAGTATCTACAAGGATGTCACGTCAGTGCATCTCGACCACCTCCGTGTCTATTGGCAAGAATTGCTTGATCTACACACGGAAATGGGACTGAGCATTGAGGAAGCATTAATGCACTCCTTCCAGAGACTGGATTCTGACATCTCTCTGGAAATCCAAGCCCCGCTGGAAGATGAGGTAACAAGGAACCTGTCACTCCAGGTTGCTTTCTCTGGGGCAACAGCTTGTATGGCCCATGTTGATGGAATTAACTTGCACGTGGCAAATGCTGGTGACTGCCGGGCCATTCTTGGTGTCCAGGAGGACAACGGCATGTGGTCTTGTCTGCCCCTTACCCATGACCACAATGCCTGGAACCAGACTGAGCTGTCCCGGCTAAAGGGAGAGCATCCCAAGTCAGAGGACAGGACAGTCATCATGGATGACAGGCTGCTGGGTGTTCTCATGCCCTGCAGGGCCTTTGGGGATGTTCAGCTGAAATGGAGTAAAGAGCTACAGCGTAGTGTCCTGGAGAGGGGCTTTGATACAGAGGCACTCAACATTTACCAGTTTACCCCTCCACATTACTATACACCACCCTACCTGACTGCTAAGCCTGAGGTCACATACCACAGGCTGAGGCCCCAAGATAAATTCCTTGTGCTGGCTTCAGATGGCCTGTGGGACATGCTGAGCAATGAGGATGTGGTGAGGTTGGTCGTGGGGCATTTGGCTGAGGCAGATCAGCACAAGCCAGACCTGACCCAAAGACCTGCCAACCTGGGGCTCATGCAGAGCCTGCTGCTACAGAGGAAAGCCAGTAGGCTCCATGAGACTGACCAGAACGCAGCCACACGTCTGATCAGACACGCCATCGGGAGCAATGAGTATGGGGAGATGGAGCTAGAGCGGCTGACAGCGATGCTGACGTTGCCTGAGGACTTGGCGAGAATGTACAGGGATGATATCACTGTCACTGTGGTATATTTTAACTCAGAATCAATTGATACATATTACAAAGGGTGTTGAGAATCTTTCATCATATTGCCAAGATTAACATAAATGCTCTTCTAAATCATTTTTACGTACTCTTAAACTAGCTATCAAAACCTTTCTGTTAAAAGGGCAGGCAGATGTAACTTGTAAATTGATTAACATACTGGGGGAAAAAAAGGTTTTAAAACCATAGCAGTGATATCATGTCTCTGTCTGCGTGTGCCACTGCAGTCTTGATCTGCTGGGCTCAGGTGGTCCTTCTGCCTCAGCTTTCCAATTAGCTGTAGCTACAGATGCACATCACCATGCATGGCTAATTTTTTTTTTTAATTGTAGAGATGAGGTCTTGCCAAGTTGCCCAGGCTGGTCTTGAACCCCTGGGCTCAGGCAGTCCTCTCACCTCTACCTCCCAAAATGCTAGGACTGCAGGCGTGAGCCACTGTGCCCAGCCAGCATTAGGTATTTAAACCATGTTTTAATATTTGTTATTTTATAAAGATGCTATTAAACTGTGTCAGCCTGAGCCTTCAAAGGGTAAATTTAATCATGATTCTAAGAATAAAGAACTTCAGGATCTTTTGAGATCTTGCTGTAAAACCTGCAGATTTGATAATTCTCCTGAATTCACAATCATGGATGTTAAACTGTGAAGAGACTTTTTTTTTTATTTGTTGTTTTTTATTTAAATTACTAAAGCCTAGGTTTACAAAGCATACTACAGGACACTCTTCTATGCAGTATCCTACCTTTTTTGTGATTATACTTGTGAAAACATTTTGTAATACTGTATTCTAGTTCTGTTTTAGTTTATTTTAAAACTGAATCTTTAAACTTGCGAACAGGCCTACTGAAACATGCTTGGAATGACTGGTTTGGGTTTTCACCTGGTAGGATCTATGCCTCTGGACCAGCTGAATTTGCTTATACAGATTTGGTCCCCTCCTGAGTCCCATCCCTGAAACTTTGAGCCATACTAGAAGATAATTTATTTATGCCTTAACTCTTGGCCTTTCCTGCATTAGTAAAATTTCCTCCTAGGCTTAGCCTCTGAGGGTTTATTCATGGCATTTAACCTTTCTGATGTTACCTCTCCAACATTCTTCTGTCAATTCCACACAATCCTTCTACCTCTGCTATCCTGAACCCTTACCCTGCTCCTGCTAACTGGAAATACTGTCTGAAAGAATTTTTCGTGTTTCCACTTCAAATGGTTGCAGAAAAAAGAAAATGCCATATGGTTGTTGTGTCAGACATTTAGGCAGGACAGGCTTATTCAGTGACTTGGGGATTTAGGATTCAGCCTTTGTACAGGTGAAAACATAAAGGGCTTAAGGAGAAAATCCATTAACCAAGGCTCTCTGAATCCCTTTCTGAGTGGCATGGGGAGGAGGGAGGAGTGAGACTTATCAGATGGGACACTTGACCCCAAGACTGGGATAAATCACCATTGCTAATCCTCAGGAATTAGACCACATTTAGTATAGGAGCTGGGATAAAAATAAAAATGTAACTTGGAATGGTTTCTATGTATTTACTTGAAAATTAAACCACCATTTTTGGGGAATGAATTTCATCTTATGACCTGTTGTAGCATTTACGCAACAGGAAATGTGTTGCTAAATGAAAACATATAATGCCACAAAACTGGCAGTTTCCTTTTTCTGTACCACATCAGGCAGAATTCTTCAATGTCGGACTACGTTAGCTGACTCCTATCCTTGTCTTCCTCCTCATGCCACCCACTGAAAAGGAAAGCAAATGATTAGGTTTGGTTTCCTCATTTTTTAATCTGTGTCCCAACTGACAGTTAAATGTTGGGTTACTTCTAGCTTGGGAACATTTCTCAATTCCAGTGCAGCTGTTTAAGTCATGTGGTCTTTTCATCTGAGAAATTCTTTTGAGTGTGTAAGCCTTGGTCCTTTTATTCTGAAGTCATCTGTATTCCTTTTGATCTCCTAGATCTTAACTCAAATATAAAGTGTGAATTGCATTCTGCTAGTCAAGGGTTTGTAGCTAGAACCGAGGGTCCCACTTATTTGACGTTTTCTTTGTCCTTTATTCTTTTTTTTGAGTTAGAGTTACACTGTGTTGCCCAGCCTGGAGTGCAGTGGCACACTCACAGCCACCGCAGCCTTAACCCACTGGGCTCAGGCGATCCTTCTGTCTCAACCTTCCAAGTAACTGGAACCACTGGTGTGCACCACTACACCTGGCTAATTTTTTGTTTATTGTAGAGATGAGGTCTCGCCAAGTTGCCCAGGCTGGTGTCAAACCCCTGGGCTCAGACAGTCCTCTCGCCTCTGCCTCCCAAAGTGCTGGGATTGCAGGCATGAGCCACTGTGCCTAGCCTGTCCTTTATGCTTTATGCCAGCTAAAAGGGTGCCCTTGGAGCCTTTACTGGTGTGCAGAGGGTCTGAATCCTACTTTGGAACTTAGCATGGGCCATAAATATATCTAATTCAGTAACTAGAAAGATAGCAGAGAGAACACAGACTCCTCACCTGTCTCCAAGTGTATCTGCTTTTTCTCTGCTAATAGATTTTCCCGCTTTTTAATTGGTATATTGAGAAGAAAGGCTGATTTATTGTCTGCCTTTTTTCCACTGTGAACTATCAGCTCTTTCCATGAATGATCCAGGGAGCATCGCCTGGTTAAACCCCGGCATGTCTATCTCTGACCACTATTCTGCTGTCACTGGCCTTCTGGAAGTACATGGACTCCTGCTTTAGGACACTGGGATTTGAGAGGAGGTTAATGGCACTTGTCAGAGCTTCCAAAGCATTTATTATTTTATACAGAGATATCAATATTGAGACTTAAACTAAAAAATGAGATTGAACATTTAATATTTGGATGTAACTTCTGAAGAAAGTTTACTTGGTGCTTAAAGTTGTATATCATTTTAGGTAAGAATATTGGCATAATCTAGATTTTATTAAATACATAAATAATACTGTTCTGTTGATTCTGAGGCTTGGGCAAAATGGACAGATAAGATGGTATTCTAAGTTCCATTAGCATGATAGATCAAGTTATTTAGATGTAGCTTTCTGAGATGTTATTTGTAACATTAAAGTTAATTTATTATAATGAAAATGTAAACTTTAAGATGTGTTAATATATACATTTTTTTTTTCTCAGAAGTACATTTGGCCTGAAAGGTCTCTAGTATTGAGCACACTGGGCAAAGCTCACTTTATACACAATCGAGTTGGGACCTTTTAAACATGAGTGAAATATAAATAGCTTGAACTTGAGTTTGTTAAAGAAGAGTAACAAAAAAATGTGCTCAGAATGAGTCTGGCTTGACCCTTATCCATCAGATCCTAGTGATTTATCTTCATTTGACAGCTTGTGGGAAGCCTTAACTTCCCAGGTTAGACCAGAACATCCTGGAACTAAGCCTCCAACATTCATCTTAAAATGGTTAGTTTGTCTCTGAAATGTGACTCTATTGTGGCAGAAAAAGCCCTAGAGCAGCCCTGGGGCTGGGGATGAAGGCTGGTGGTGCAACCTGTGATATGGGCTACTAACTGGATGGAAAGGACATCTGAACTGCCATTCAGCGATTTGGGCAGACTGAGGCTCTGTCCCATACTCCTCAGGCACCTGACATTTAACTTGCCTCCTGGAAAATATGTCTTATCAAGCATTTACGTGGAACAGTTATTAACCATGTTCTTTAATGACTGACATTTGTATTTTAAGCTGTATATCAACATTCATATTTGACACTGATTTTCTAACCATTAGAGATATTTAATTAAAATTTATAAAAGAGGCAAAATGAAATTTGGTTTCTTTCTGTTTAAATATTGATTTTTTTAGCCCTTAGGATAATTAAATTAAGCAGCCATTGTTTCACCACCTTTATCTGCCATGGAAGATATTAGGCTGTTCAAGAGTCCACCTGAAAGAGAAGTCTGTTGCCCACACAGGAAGTCCTCATTTAGTGTCAACCTTGTGTGGGGGGCCTGAAAAGGAAGTAAAGGCTTTTGTTGTGAGAGTCTCCACATACTCAGTGCCAAAGCCTGCTGGGATTTCACATTTATTTAACTGAGCTCTTAAAACACTTGTAGCTGGGCTCGGTGGCTCAGCCTGTAATCCCGTGCCTTTGGGAGGCTGAAGTGAGTGGATTGCCTGAGCCCGCGGGTTCAAGACCCACCTGGGCAACTTGGTGAGACCTCATCTCTACAGGAAGTCAAAAATTAGCCGGGTGTGGTAGGGCACGCCTGTAGTTCCAGCTACTTGGAAGGCTGAGGCGGAAGGATCTCCAGAGCCCAGCAGGTCGAGGCTACGGTGGCCAGGAGCGGCCACTGCACTCCAGTTTGGGTAACAGAATGAGACTCCAACTCAATAAATAAATAAATAAATAAATAAATAAGTAAAATAAAACTAACTTGTAGCCCAGTGCGGTGGCTCATGCCTATAATCCCAGCACTTTGGGAGGCGAAGGTGAGAGGATTGCCTGAGCCCAGGGTTTCGAGACCAGCCTGGGCAACTTGATGAGACCTCATCTCTACAATAAATAAAAAAGTTAGCCAGGCATAGTAGTGTGTGCTTGTAGTTCCAGTGATTTGGAAGGCTGAGGTAGAAGGATTACCAGAGCCCAGCAGGTCGAAGCTGTGGAAACTATGAGTATGCCACTCCACTCCAGCCTGGGTGACAGAATGAGCCTTTGACTAAATAAATAAACCAACTTGTAAATCAGCATATATATATATATATATATATATATATATATACACACACACTATACACATACAAGCTGGTTTCTCTCTCTCTCTCTCTATATATATATATATATTTTTTTTTTTTTTTTTTTTGAGTTGGAGTCTCATTCTGTCGCCCAGACTGGAGTGCAGTGGCCATTCCCAGCCACCACAGCCTCGACCTG